AAAAAGAAAAAAGAAAAAAAAAGAAAGGAAGAAAGAATAAATAAACAGCAGCAATAAAATAAATAAAAAGAAAGAAAAATAGAGGGAAAGGCTACAATGTTATGTTTTGTTTTGTGAAGTTGCATTTGTTGCCATCTAAACATTAAAGTTAATAACGTGCATTGCTCTTTGAACTTAATGTGAAAGACTTATTTTCTTGTTACTCTCTAGCCTTACATTATCCTTTTCTCTATTTTCTTCTTGTAACCATTTACCTTACCTAAACCAACTATAAAAAGACCCTCTTGTATATCTAGTTAGACTCGTCCACATTAATACGATCAAGTTAACCGCAACTTCGGATGAATCTATGTAGACTTGTCCTACATTAGTGGAGAGGGAACCGCAAGGAGAGCTTATGGTTGTTCATTATCTTGTTTTCTTGAAGCTATGAAAATGTATTTTATATGCCTTGATTATTGCTCGACAAAACATTTGTTGATTCAAGCTTCATATGTGTGCGTGAGTGTTTTAAGAATTCTTAGTGTAACCTTTTTCGATTGAGTTCACGATGATGGGATGATTTTGACGGTTTGGTATCCAATTGCGATGTTGCGTTGTTTGAGGTTTTTGTATATGTTGAATCGAGTTTCGTTGTGAAGTTGTGGTCTCCTATATAGATTAGATTTCGAATTCTAAGTCATGCTTGAGGACAAGCATGGGATAAGTGTGGGGAAATTTGATAACTTGTAAATCCAATTTTCTTTTATTGTTATATTTGTGTTGATTTGGTGTCATTTTGTGCTTAAAAGAGTGGTTTAACTTGATTTATTGTTTTTATGCTAGGAAAAGTTGGTTTGATACGAATAAAGCAAAAAGGAGCACAATTGAAATGTTTTGGAGCAAGGACGGAGCTGCTGGAATTTTGGAACACAAATACAAGTTGTTAGGCTCTTAGCCTTGGGCAAGACTAAGCAGGAAATCAGACCAGCGGACTGATTGTGACATTATTGGCTGGTCACCAACTAATTCAGCACGTTGTACAGCCACAGGATGATACTTAGACCACAGTTTAGTGGGTATTTTATTGTATTAGTGGACCCCACCTGTCTAGGGCTATTTAAGTCGAATATCTTTTGTGGATTATCTTCCGCCCCCTTGGGTTGTGACGAATTGACAGAATTTTGAGAGATTATTCTACCGACTTTCAATTCTTGTGAGGATTTTCTTCCATAGTCATGGTGGCTAAACTTCTTGTTCAGTTAAGCTAAAACAAGTAGAAGTTTGATTTCGATTGTGAGATGTCATATTAACTTAATTTTAAATTTCTTTATTCTATTGCATTGTATATCCTTTCCTGATTTATTGGGAAAATATATCCCTAGCGAAATCTATGGGAATGATTTAACAGGGCCGTTATGTTGTTTGGTAGAAATTTCAAGCTTACTTCGGCTAATCAAATCCGTAATGTTTGGTTAGGTTGAGCAGTAGTAATAATATAAACTAATTGGGTTAGAAACTTTCTAGTTGATATTAAGAAAGAATATAAAATCAGATTAAATGGATGCTCGTAGTTCTGTTAATCTGGACAGGGGTTCTATTAATTTTAAAGCAATACAGTTAAATCCTTCGTCGTTACTTAGGTTGCTAGTTGATTATGGGTTTATTAAATCGCTATCTTAGGCAAACCTATTCCACGGTAGATTGGTTGGCGTGACGGTTCTTTCTGGCTATAACTGTCTTTGTTAATATGAATTAAGGAATTAATCTGAATCAATGATCACTCGAATCAAAATTTTTCGATCCGCGGTATGCCTTGGCTGAATTTTTCAATTGTCAGTGTTCAATTTTAATTTTATTTGCATTTATTTCTTTGATTTTAATTTTAATTCTGTTTAGTTCGATTATTAATTTCCCCTCTATTTTTAATTTTATTTTCAGTTTTGGTCTATTTTCGACAAAGCTAATCCCTAGGGTTCGATCCTTCTCACCATATTTACAAGTTTTATTTTGTAGGGGAGCAGGTTAATTATTTTTGGCGGATTCGACGCCCGTCAAATGTCCTACTCGCAATTTCTGGTTTGCAGTCAGAATTTGACGAGCAAAAAAAGAATGGCATTGGGAGTTGTGGAACTTAAATGAGCTCCTATTGGTTAAAGATATGGAGCTGGATGTTACTTGGATTAATTAGCTAAAGATTCGTTGGGCTGATAGGCGGTTTATTGTGCATAGGTAGACCCAAATGCAAAGTGATGCATTCTTCTATAGACTGGGAGCTGAAATTTTTTGCCCCATATCTATAAGTTTTATTGACCTAATGTGATTTTGTTTTCTGGTTGCATTAGAAATACTTAAAAGGGTACATTTGTGAAGATTTGAAATCCAACCTTTATTATGAGACAAACTAAGTACTTCTAGTTTCTATTGAAAGATGAATGATGCAATTGTTTTACGTGATCCTTGCGATAGGGAACTGAGATGGAACATTGAATCTAAATTGCAAAATTTTCATACAGAATAATCTTCCACGTTAGCTATTTAAGCAAAAGGTCGAGTGAGTATTCCATTCTTGAGGACTAAAGACACTAATGGTATAAATTAAAAAAACCTTTAATTATATTACATTATAGTTCACATAAAATAATCAAAGTTCATCTTATTGAAAAACATTATTCAATTTCATTGATTTGTCTTTTAAATCTATGTTCAGGTGAGGACGGTGGAGCTTGTTATCATTCATATACACATGTACCTATTAGAGGTGTAGTCTACTATATTCTTACTTTATGCATCTATATATGTATATATTGTTAAATATGAACTCTACAATATTTTAATAGATCACTAACGCAGTTGAATATTCCGCATTGGGTGATGAGTACTTTTTTTACGAATGAGAATAAGCTGATGTTTAAACATTTCTATTTCTGGCTAAGTTGGCACAACGGTCTAAGCTCTTGGATGAATTTTTAAGTAAAAGCACATGGAAATTCTAGTAATTTCCTAAGATTCTCTTTTTTAGGTACTTGTGGGAAAATTCTTTACTTCTCATTCTAGTGGAATTCAATTTTAAATTCCAAAATTAAACATTTTCAAATCTAAATCATTGAAACAAATCCAAAGCTTCTTGTGAGTTGTGACTGCCTCATCATCAAGGAGATAAATACCACTATTGTTGCTCTTTTTTAATTTGTAGTAGGGCCTTATCCTGTCTTAGAATGTGGTGATACTTTGCTTCGTCATAATGCTAGTATAATCTATCGATGGAATATTCTCTTTGAACCAGAGTTGTAAATGAAATTAAGTGCGGCGCTATAATGCATGTAAAATAACTTTAGGTCAGTTCAATTAAACAAGTTGGTGAGAGAGTTGGATGGATATCATCAATGATCAAACCAAATGAACTTTTGTTAGGGACTATTTATTTATTTTATTACTTGTTTTGCCTCTTTGAAGTAGAGGGACCATTATCTTTCAAGTAAAGTGGATCAACTCCTCCTGCTGCTTTTTCTATTTATTTATATTTTTGGTTAGTATGTAAATGTAACAAAAAAACAAAAGGAAAGAGGAGAGGTAAAGTCTTGTTGGATGGATATTGTTAATTGTGGTGTTCAATTCATGACTTTTATTTGGACTTTACAATCACTCGAAATCTCTAACCCTTTTTTGTCGGTTGATTTGGTGAAGAAAAAATCTCTTTTATATTAGCTACTTAGCACAGGAACTTGCATTGCTGGACCATTTAACATGTTTTTCTATTTCTTCTTCATTCATCAATACTCGAGAGAACCAGATAAGCCCAGATTTGATAATATCAATAGAATTCCCGTCTTTTTTGTTTCTTCCCTCTAAGCTCTAACTTCGATACTATGTGTTTGTAAGGAAAATAAGGTGTCGTGGCAACAATTTAGACTAGAAAAAAATATAGAAATAAACCGAAATTTGTTTTTCGAATTTGTAATTCAGAGAAAAAAAAAAAAAAAGTCTAAAATCGAGCTTTTGGGACATTTATTCCCCACAGCTTGGAATCCAGTAATTCGAATACATTCTACACCCCTGCTTGTAGGTCACCAATAAATTACAACCTAAAGTTCAGGGGTACCCAAAATCTCAAGTTTAGGGCTTTTTTTTTTTTTTTTTTTTCTGAATTACTAACTTTGTATGCAAATTTGAGTTTATAATAAAAATATAATGCAAAAAAAAAAAAAAAAAAAAACCTCGTACGTCCTCGCGGCGCGGGGCTTTTTACTTCTTCTTTTTTTTTTTTTTTCTAATTACTAACTTTTATTGCAGATTCTGAGTTTATAATAAAACATAATGCAAAAAAAAAAAAAAAAAAAAAACAAAACCATCATTATGTATATGTAATATAAGGCTTGCTGGCGTCTATAATCCTCATATAGACTCTAGCAGAAAAAAAAAAAAAAAAAAAAAAAAAGAAATAGGGGCCGGGTCTATTTAACCTTATACTAGCAGGAAGGGGGGGTTAGATGTCATGGACAGAGACAAGGGTCCCCTCTACGAAAACTTGGAAATGGATAACACATTGTAAACGACAAATAACACAAATACACAGTATTTGGGGACATTAATGTATCTGTGTTAGCACTCTAACAGAGTTTTGGTGGATCAAAGGCATAATCATGGACCTCACCTTTTCCAATTTCCATTACTCCCAAATCTTAAACAATCCAACCTTTCTCCGTACAAGTCTGCAATACAAGGCAACTGATTATATTAGAACTCTAGTATGACAATTTATCAAAAAAATTACTACTACATTAAGAAAGGATAGATAGGTGGAGACGTGGAGTCTTTTCTTTTGCTTCTTGTTCATGGGCAAGTACTGTGTCTGAGTTGACTTAAAAAGTAAAAATTCTAATCCTTGAGAACCGTACAGTCAAAATCCAACGGATATTAGGAGATACCAACAAAGACTTGTGGTGGGAAGTTCCCATAATACCAGAGCTCAAGACTCCAAAATGAGTCAAGACCCCGAGAAGGAACATTATGGAATGTGAAACACAAGAAACTCATACCTTTCCTTCTCCACTCCCTTGTACTTTTCTCTCTCTATCAAAATTTGAAAGCAACTACACCCTGTCGCTTTTTTTGCCACTCGTTTTTTAGCTCTTATTATTATTATTTTTTTGTTTCCCCCATTTCTTTAACCAATAACATTATTTTATTTCTTTCTCTTCTCTTAGCACAGGGCCACAGGCCTAAAAAGGAAGGGGAAGAGAATTGGAAATAGCAACTCCTTACTCTTCAAAGTCTCCTCCTTTCTATTTTCAATCCCTCACTTTCCTTTTCCCTTACACACGGTTCCAAAGTTGAATACATTATCCACTTTCCTTATTTCTTCCAATAATTTTCACAATAAAACCACTTTTTTTTTTAAAAAAAAAAATTTAAATCTCTTTCTTGCTTTCTGTCCTGCTTCAAGGTTTGGCAGACAAACTATACATCTATCTTTCTCTTTCAAGGCTATTCATCAAACTGTTGTCAGAAAATTAATGTCTTCTTCTTCTCTTCTTCTTATTGTCCTTCTCTATCATCTGTAATTGGGGTTTAACTGCTTCCACACTATTTTAGATTTCCAATTCTTGCTTGTTTATAGTTCAACCTGCAGTTGTTTCCTTTCCCGCCTCTTTTTCAAGATTCTTCTGCAATTTGAAAGCCTGGAGACTACCAAAAGTCGGGATTTTTGCCTCTTCTGTGCTTGGTTTCTTGGGTTCTCTCAGGTACCCATCATTAAATTTTTGCTCTTTTTAAGTCTATTTTTGGTTTCTTGTGATTATCAATTGCAGAATCGGTGTAATTTTCTGGGTTTTATTTTTTAAGCCACTGTATATTGCAATAGTAACTTATTTTTGTACAAGAAAAGCACACTGAAAAAAGAAAGCAATCTCAAACAGTAACAGTTAGTGATACATGTGGTTCTCCTTGTAACCAGAATAAAGTTGTGTTGGAAACTTTTTGCCAACAAAAATGTCTCCTTTAATAATTATTTAAGGAGTAAATTTTATTTTTGGGATTATAATTGATTTTTGAGATGCAGCCTTGCTGGCCCATAATCAGCTTGTTTAAAGGTTTAACACATTCAAACATGGTATTTTGGTCCATCAATAAACTAGTATGTTTTTGGTATTTGGAAGCAAAATGATTCATGGAATTACTTGTTCATTGAAAAGTAAATATCTTCATTGCTGTTTGTGGCTGGGATGAAGGTGCTGACTCGCATGATGTGACAGGTAACCAGTGTTGGAATAGCATTAAAAATGCACTTTATTGTTAAAGTGCAATGACAATTATGCCCCTTTTTCTGCGCTTTTCCTCAAATTCTTTCCTCGAAATTTCTTCTCTAAACTTTCGTTCCAAGTTAAACAAACCAAGTCCATTTGGATGGATATTTTGTCATCTAATTTGGAAAGCAAAGGTATAGAGTATTTCTTCACGTTGATGTCCAAGAAAACCATTTCAATGCACGTGAAATCTTTTCCCATGGATTTTCTTGTTCCCTCTAATAAACTGTTCTTGTTTTTTGTTGTTGTTATTGATTCTTTCGAAATCTGATTAGGTGGATCACTTGGATAAGTTTTTTTGTTCAAGGGAGGGAAAAAGAAACAACCTTTGCAAGATAAGGATGTTCTATGGGCTATAATCTTAAGACACCTTGGAGATTAGCTGAATTGGAAAACCAAAACATTGCTCACATTGCTCAAACTACTGTGTCTAGTAGCTTAGGAGTGCATCAGGCTATCAAGCATTGCTCTGTGGACCTGAAACTTGGGAATTCAGGTCTTTTGCAGGATAAGTTGGTGGAGAAATTTGCAGGTCCAGGGGACTATTTAATGGAGTCATCATCATCTGGATCATCAAAACGAGTTCGAACACCTAGCAATGGAAATCAAGTCCCTTCATGCTTGGTGGATGGGTGCATTGCAGACCTTAGCAAATGCAGGGATTATCATCGAAGACATAAAGTATGCGAGCTCCACTCTAAAACCCCTAAGGTTTTTATTAAAGGTCAGGAGCAACGGTTTTGCCAGCAGTGCAGCAGGTAAGAACTATCATGCTTCTTTGAAAGCTAGGATTCTCTAAATCATAGAATTCTATCTATTCCTCTGCTTTGTTTTTGTCTTGATTACCCTTTTCCTACTGACAGAGATTGAATTGTACAGCAGCATTTAAGTTGTCTTTAATTCCAGTGTACTCTTAATCAATGTAGTTACTTAGCCTTTTTGTTTATAGAGTCCTATGTACTTGAGTCTTCAACTTTTCGATTAGATTCATGGATGTGGAAAAACCTTATATGGGTTTGTATTGTAGCTTTAGATGTGATGGTTGTATCTTGGGGCGCATGCTAGCTCTACATATGAAACTCTGTTGAGCTCTCCAACTTCCCCTGCATTAATTGGTACATCACAGTAAAACTCTCTCTGATAGAGTTTCAGTATGCTGTAGCTTCGTTACCATGAGAGCAGGTAGCAACTTGGTGATGATTGTTAAAAAGTGGTCCTGCAAATACATCTTTTGCATTTTGGGAGAAGTCTAAAAAATTGTCCCATAATGTTTCAAAGGGAAAAAGATTAAATTTGTGTTGTCAATTTCAGATAATTGAATGGAGGAAGGATCTTAAATTTTCTCTGGATGTTACATTAATCAATGCCGTTCTGAGGTATAATGACTGAGCTGCATAACAGGTTTTCTAGTGTTATAGTTGCAACTTCAATTTTCCTTACCCCACACCTCCCTTCTTTTTTTGGCGAGGGCATGGCAGATGCAACTCAACCCCCAAAGATAATTTTTTATTCAACTGTGAATATATAAATTTTGGAAAATGTTGATTGCTTTCAATGTCACTATTATAGGTTTCATTCCTTGGTGGAGTTTGATGAAGGAAAACGAAGCTGCAGGAAACGTCTTGATGGACATAACCGGCGCCGAAGGAAGCCGCAGCCCGACTCAGTTTCTGTAAATTCTGCAAGGTTATTTTCCAATCACGAAGGTTCGATTCCCAACTTCAAGAAATTTTAATTCAGTAGTTATTTCTTAATCCCTATTTCTTAACCATCAAATTGAGGAAAAAAAAAAAAAAACGAAAGGTACTGAACACTGCTGGTGTGCACAACATTTCAGGTACTAGATATTTGCAGTTTGGTGGCTCTCAAATATTTTCAACTAGTCCTCAGAGCTCTGCATGGACTGGAGCTGTCAAACCTGAGAATGATCCGATGCTTTACACTAGTCAATCCTCGCTAAACTTCAACAGCGGAAAAAACCTTTTTCCTGGATCCTTATCTCAGGGCTATAGAAGTGGAAAGCAGTTCCCATTCTTACAATGTACTAGCTCTTCTGCAGTTCCTCGAGAATCTGTTTGTCAAACTATTCTTGATTCTGATTCGACATTAGGTAGTAGCTGCAGCAGCCAGAAAATGTTCTCTGATGGTGCAAACCGAGTTATTGACTCGAACCGTGCTCTCTCTCTTCTGTCATCTCCATCAGCCCAGACTCGAGAGATTGGCTTGAGCCACATGGTGCAGCCTGACCTGAACCCCCCTGCTCGGTCCTTGAACCCAAGCCTGAACTTTAATGCTCTTGGAATGGGAAGTGGGCCAGTTGAATCTGTTTTAGTCTCTGATGGCAGTAGCAATGCCAATCTTCATGGCCAGGATATGTTTCAGATTGTACCTGACGGGTCTTCTGCAAATGGATCCCTCCAGACGCTGTCTTTCTCCTGGGAGTAGTATGTTACTATTTCTGAATCCTCCATGTGATTCCATGTTTAAATGTGAAAAATAAAAGGATTTATTATCCTAAACTATTTCATTGTCATGATGCTACTGAATTTTGTTGATTCCTAAGTTATGTATGCTCATATTTTCTTGTTTTTCCTCCCCTTTTTTACCCATTTGTGAGCTTTCACGAATGTTCAGTGAATGCATTTTCTAAAGAATAAATTTTATTGCGATCTTTAGCATCTTTTTTTTTTTTTTTTTTTTTTTTTGTTATTAGTAAGCTTGCTGGTTTAAGGCTAAAGGATATCTTTACATATCATAGACTCAACACTCATACTGCAACTTAAAAAGCAAAAAATAAAAAAAAAATAAAAAAAAAGAAAAGAAAAGAAAAAGAAAGCTCTTTGCAAAGATAATCTAATGCAGGTATGGTCAAAAAAGGCACGCCAGATACTCAGAAAATATTCCAGTGAAATAAGAATCTGTGCATGAAAAAGATACATATATATATATATATATATATATAACTCTTAATCTTGCAAGTTAAAAAACAAAAGAAAAAAGAAAAGAAAAGCCTAATTGGTTTTAAAAATTATGTATAATATGAAGTCCTTTTGCGCTAGAGACAAGAATTGGAGGAGGTCATTGTCTTTTACCTCCCATGTTAATATGCGCGAGTCCTTTTCTCAACTGCAGCCTCCATCTGCCGACCTATGCTTTTCATTTTTCTGCATTAAAATCCACTTGCAGCCTTTTGTAATAGCAAATATCTATTCTTCTTTAATTCTTGCACATGCAGTTCCAATTCTTTGTATCTACCCTTCTACACATTTGCAGAGCTGGCTCTACTCCTCGTCTCTCATTAGCCTAACCAATCTTTTATACTTTGCCAAATCAAGAAACAGAGAGATTATCAATCAACAGGGCAACAAATGCCGATATTATCGTTACAAATATTAAGGCTTTAAATGTTTTTCTCTATATTTTTATCTTAAATTTTCAAGTTTTAAATCTCAAATCACAAAAGATAATATCAACTCATGTATAGCACTTTGAGGTTTTTGTCTTGACATTGATTTCCTAATAGGATGAGGATGAGGATGAGGATGAAGACGAGGATGAGGATGAAGACGATAAAATTTATTCCATCTTGCTATATTGCCATTTTCTACGAGACAAACTTTGGCATTAGACTATCTATTCAATGGCTTTTTGACTATTATAAGTAATTCAAAGAACCTTATTTATCTAGCTCAAGGAAAAGGATTAGTAAATTTGTCTATGTGCATGAACAGATCATCTTTGTATTATTACATCTAGTGTAAATTTGGCAATACGTTTCCTTTCTATCAAAGAATCAATTCTCCGTTCTGACTCCATTATTGCTAATAGATCAATGACAAGATATTTGATTCATTTGAAAAATAATCCATTAGTTCGAAAGTTGGTTTGAGGGTACGTAGTTATTTATAGAATAATATATACTTATCTACGGTTCGTCCTTTATATTTGGATTTTAGTAATTTCTGTTTATACGATTACAGGGCCCGTTATCCATATTAGTAGGCTGAGCATGCAAGCATATTCCCTTGCATCACAGGCAAGGGCAGGGCATATCAAAAAAAAAAAAAATAGAACACGTAAATACTAATCCGTGAAGAATATATAACAGAAATCTCTCAAGAAAAAGAATATATAGCAGAAAAGTGACGGTTTCTTTCGGTTAAGCAATTTTTATAGCTACGCTAATGACTGTATGAACTGAATCCTTTCGAAGAAATTCTGTTCTTGTTTGTTATATTGTAATGTTGGAGTAATTAACCTGCCAAACCGTATGAAGTCCAAATAACAAAAAAAGACAGTAAAGAAATATCAAGAATACTGTAAAATGAAGTAACAAAATCCTCAGAAAAAAAAAAAAAAAGAAGAAGAAATGAAATTTAAGATTGATTGAAATAAATAATTTTGAGAACATATTCTAAGTAGACTTAGATAAGTAACTTGAGCTAATAAATAAAATTAAAGTAAAAAAAAAAAATTGAGAACATATTCTAAGTAGACTTTAGATAAGTTAACTTTGAAGCTAATTAAATAAAAATTAAAGTAAAAAAAAAAAAGTCAGTCTGAACTAATGACGTGCGGTAAACCACCATCTGATTAAAATCTTGGTTATCAAAGAGAGGAGAGGTGAAAGGACTTTATATGTGGAAGTAGTATAAGAGCAAAATAGTATGATTATGGCTAGGTTGGAAAAAAAAACCAAAAAAAAAAAAAAAAAATAAAAAAAAAAAAATAAAAAAAAAAAATACCCCAAAAGATATTTATAAACTGGATTTTTTAATCATTATTACTATAATTTGTTGACTATTTATACTTATTATTACAATATAGCTTTAAAAACATTTTAACATTTTGAAATTTTAATGTCTCATTTTTTTTAAAGTTATTTTCATTTTTAAAAACCATCTTATCTAAAATAATTCTACTCTTTCAATTTAAGGTTTGAGATCTTAAAAGTTTATAGAATATTTTCAATTAGTCATTTTCTATTTATTTGAATATGTTGTGATGATTCTCTATTTCTTATGCAAATATTGAATTATTTCTTTATAGAATAATATCTTCAGATAATAAAAACTTAATTTAGTTATATATAAAGTTTTATATAATGTGCAACGCATCTCAAAGGAAATTTTCTCAAAAAAAATAAAAAAAAAATAATAAAAAAAAAAAGGTTATATAAGAATTTGCTTTCAACCTAATGGTAGAAGGATTCAAATCTATCGGTCAGCAAACAAATGAATAGAAACATAGATAATCAATAATGGATTTGACATAAGAATAAGGAAGTGCCCTTTATTTCTAATGTGGCGTTTGCTATCATAAGGTTATTACCCAGTTCTTCTCTATGTTATATATCTACATCTAGTTAAAAGCGCCTCAGCCTAAGAGATAAATTGTGACGAACACACATTTCAAAAACAGAACTTTATGGCGTGTTATTGAAGATAAAAAGGTCGGTGGGGTAACCAGCCAAAAAAAACCAATAAAAAAAAAAATGAAGAGGAATGATAGAAGAAAGAAGAAGCTTCTTACTTATCTTAAACAAACTTTATTTGCCATTTTCACGTATCAAACAAAGCTTCTTTTAAAAAAAAAAAAAAAAAAAAAAGAAGAGGAAGAAGAAGAAGAAGAAGCTTCTTACTTATCTTAAACAACTTTTTGCCATTTTCACACAAAAAAGCTTCTTAATAACAAAAATAATTTCTTTAATACTTAACTATCCAATCAAAAGGCACCACCCCTTACTCTATAGGGCCAAGTATCTTATTCTCAAGGGTAGATTAGGTATCTTAATAACTAAAGAACAACCTCTCTCTATATATATCACATTAATGCTTCTTGAAATGGACACAACCACTCGATTGAGTTAAGAGTAATATAAAACTTTTGAACATCTCACACTTCTAAATTCAAGAAAATGGAAGCAAGCCATAAGGGAAAAGGGTTCCTTAGAGGTAAGCTAGCCAAGGCTAAGTCTCTCCTTAGCTCTAAAAAAGTTAGTCCTAGCCCATTTGGCCCAACTGGTTCTATGGAGTCAAGTGCACAATACAGGAGCAAGGTTAGCCCTAGCCCATATACTCCATATTCTGTAAATTTTCCCATTAGCCAAACAGTCCAAAAGGTGTCTACTAGTCAGCAGAGGAGAAGCTTCATTGACTATGGTGAAGATGAAAATGTGGATATGAAAGCTTCAACCTTCATTTCTAATGTTCGCGAGCGATTCAAGCTAGTCGATTCAGAGTCATGGTAACATGATTCCGAGTCTAATCTCTCATAATAATATTAATTATCTTTAATACCTAAAGTTTTGTATTGAATTTTAATACGTGACAGCAAAATGTAATAGAAATTTCTCTAACGATCTTTACTGAATCAAAATTAATGGTCAATCGGGTTTGCTTTATTGAAGCAAATACTATGTTTTAGTTCTTAATTGTATCGATATATAATGTAATTCTCAAGCAAGATTATAAGGCCAATGACATATGATAATAAGTATATCAAATTATATATCGATATATAGTAAATACACATGCAACATAAAAATAGATGTAAGTTCGAATTCTCTCGTTGTAATGTTAAAAAAATAGTTAAATATTAATAATTTTTTATTACAGCTCAATTCTGATAAATCGTTGTATTCGTTAGAGTTAGAGTATATGAAAATGTTCGTTCAAATTTTAACAGTTTCATTTTGCTGTAAAATTATGGCTATTACTAAAATTACAGCAGGATTAAAAACTTGATATGGGTATCCAGTGATGTTATAATCCATTGCCTTCCCTCAAAAGCAAAGGTATATTGAACCCATTAAATATAATAAATAAAAAATATATACTCAGAATTAGTACCTAAACTATAAATATATTCTAATTAAGGATTATGTTCATGGGGCCTTAGAATATATTTTGACATAAAAAAAAAAAGCTAATCATTATTGATTTGTGGACCAAAAACATGATTAAAGATAAAAATATATATCAATTAAAAAAATCAATATCTCATATATAGTATAATTGGAAAACTTAAAAAGGAAGTGGGTTTGGTAAAGCGGTGCAGTTTTGTCTCAGGAAAGGAAATGTGATTTAATTCACTTGTGATAGTGAGAGGGCAACGTTACTTCATAGGCTATAGGGGTTGGCGTGGCTGCAAAACTAAGGCCAAATCTGGGTTTGTCCGATATAATTTGTTTTTTTTTTTTTTGGACTGGGTTTGTTCGATATGGAGGATGACATTTTTGGATTTTGAACGCTAATTCTATATATGTGCGAAAAAAATTATTATTTAATAATAAGTTGAATACGAGCATGTGTTATTGAACTCATTTATTAAACGAACTGAATTCAAATTTTCAAATTATTTGTTATAAATTGACATCATACGTTTGGTGATGAACTCATGATCAATGTATTGAAAATGTAAGAAAAAAAAAAGATTAATTGCAAATAATTAGAATAATTAAAATTGCCTTCAGAATTGAATGATTTCACAAGTTAACAGTACAAGGAGGTTGATTATGACATGCATATACTAAGATATGACTTGCATGTGATTGGCTCACATTCATGGCATGTATTATTTCCCCACTTGAACACTGTATGTGCA